TTCTCTACTGTGCATATCTCCTTGACAGACTGATCCAATTCTTCAAAACGTTCTAAATCATCAATTGCCCTGTAGGTATCCAGCAATGTTTCGTAGACCTTTGTCTCAACATGAAAAAATCCATCTGATCCTCTCTTTGTCAAGGCTGTCTTGAGATGATCCTCCTCAGCAAGTTCTTCTAAAAGTTCATCAGCTAGCTGATCCATCTCCTCTATCCATAACACCTTGCCATTGATTGTTGGTTTCTTCATAGACTCCTTGATGTCAAATGTCATCTTGAAGTCTTCTCCCAAGCATAAGTCTATCTTCCCCTTCTTAACATCAATGATAGCTCTAGCAGTGGCTAGGAATGGTCTTCCAAGAATCAGGAGATCTTTAGGCTCTTCATCCATTTCCAAGACAATAAAATCTGTGGGAACTTCAACAACACCAATTCTTATTGGCAGGTCTTCCAAGAGTACATGTGGGAGTCTCACTGATCTGTCAGCTAGAATGAGAGATATGTTGCATGCCTTGTATCTTGTGAATCCTAAACGCTTATCCACAGACAATGGCATCAGACTCACGGAAGCTCCAAGATCACATAGGCATCTACTGAAAGATAGGGGGCCTAGTGAGCAGGGTATAATGAAGGATCTAGGATTCTTAAGCTTCAAAGGAGTGATCTTCTTCTGGATAATGGCACTGCATTCATGACTCAATATCACCATGCCCTGGACTTCTTTTGTTCTCTCCATAACCAAATCTTTGAAGAACTTTTGATAAGGAGGGACAAGTGCGAATGCATCCAGCAATGACATTCTCAACTCAATCTCTCTCACTTTCTTTTCAAATATAGCCTTATACTTCTCAGCTTGCTGCTTTTTAAATTGTCCTGGAAATGGTAGAGGTGGTTTGTATGGTGGGGGAACGTATCTCGCAGGCTTATCCTTGGATGTTGCAGGTGTTTCAGCATGTTTCTCAGCAGGTTGAGGAGCTTCTTCAGGTACGACTTCTGGTTCTTCCAAAGGAACAACCGGATCTTCATTCTGACATACATCCTCCCCTTCCAAGTCTTCACTGTCCTGAGTGACTACAACATGTCCTTGTCTGGGAGGCAAGTTTTTACCGCTCCTCAGCGTGATGACATGAGCAAACTCCTTAGGATTCTGAACAGCTTTTCCTGTGAGTTGGCCAGGCTTTGGGGCAGAAGTAGAAGCTGTTTTGCCCTCCATATACTTGATTTTGGAATTCAGAGTCTCAATCTTCATGTTCAGATCATTGTATGAGCAGTCCAATCTCTGAGTCAGCTCAGCAAACTTCTTAGCATTGTCCATGGAGCCACTTGCTTGTCCTTGTAGAATTTGCTGAAGCATGTTTTTCATGTCATGGTCTGGTGCCTAAGGAGGCGGAGCGTTTTGAGGTTGGAATCCTGGTGGTGGTCCTGCTGGAGGTTGGTAACCTTGCTGAAATTGTTGTTTGGGCACATAACCTTGGTTGTAGGGCACAAATGGTTTGTTTTGCCCCTGCTGCTGTTGTGGAGGTGGATAAATCTGATCCTGGGGGTTTGTAACATTGGTGCTCCGATAGGACAGATTGGGATTCTGCTTATAAGGATTGTATCCCTTATTGTATCCACCTCGGTTCTGAACATAACTTATCTCCTCAGATTGTTCTCCCTCTCCATTCAGAATCTGGAAAGGGTCGTCTTCAGAGACGAAATCGATGTTCCTCTGCTGGCTCATCAATAGCTTGTCCAACTTATCATTCACAGCTTTCATCTCTTTCTTGTACTTCTCATCAAGATATGTGCTTGCCCTGACGGTTCTATCATAATCTTCATTGTAGTTGCCATCAGATTGGGATAGGTTCTCAAGAAGCTCCCAACCTTCGTCGACGTCCTTGTTCAGAAAGTTGTAATTGCTGGCAGTGTCAAGCAACATCCGGATCTTTGGGAGAACAACCCGGTAAAGAGTATTGAGGAGAGACTCCTTGGTGAAGCCATGGTGGGGGCACTGAGACTGATAACTTTTGAAGCGTTCCCAGGCTTCACAAAGCGTTTCTCCATTCTTCTGAGTGAACCCAGAGATCTCATTTTTCCCATTGATGAGCTTTGTCACCTAGAGAGAATGGAAAAAGACGTAGCTTGAAACCGTCCTCACTGAACCCCATTGATCTTGGTGAGACTGTAGAGACGATCAAACTCATCAAGGTGATCCAGAGGGTCTTCCATAGGCAGACCTTGAAATTTATTCTGCTGGACCATGGAGATCAGACCACTCTTGATCTCAAAGTTGTTGTTCGCCACGGCTGGAGGCACAATACCCTGACGATGGGTATGGTTGCGTGGAGCATCACCAGCTCCAATCCGTGTAGGTGCCCGTGGTGGGGGTGGTGGTAGAATGTTTTCCATCTCGACTTGCGGTGGTGTAACTCTGTTGCGTTGCGGTCGTGATGCAGGTACCAAACGATCAATATGGTCTGAGGGCTGTAACAATTTCTCTATGCCTTGCGACCGTGTGTGCATACAACTCAAATCAGCTTATCTCTCTTATCGGTTGAGTGTGTCAGTCGAGTAGGAGCAGTTATGCAAGAGTTGTACCTGAATCAATAGACAAACAGAAGGAACAGAGTTAGTAACTGTAGTGAATGTTGAGTAAAAAAAAACTTGATCTTAGCAAGTCTGAAATCTCAAATATAACAAACAAACACCCAAATGGCAGCGGCGCCAAATTGATACTAGGATTTTTCTATTAATTACCCTAGAGTACTATCATGTCATTGCAGTACAGTAGGTATCAATCCAATCAGGTGTGATGCTAGCAATCAAGATATATCAGAAATGATTAAGTCAAGCAAGTATAAATGATCTTTTGGTTTTCAATGATCCTAAGCAAACATGTTAAACATGCAATAAATGTAAGGCTGTAAAACACAGACTACCATGCATAAACCAAAACGTAACGATTATTGATACTGACAAGAAAACAAAGTAGAACAAGTAAATTACAAGAGAATTAAACAGAAAGCACAAATGGATAGAAGATCCCGAGGATGAGGTTATTGATGTAGGTGAAATATGCTAATCTACTTCGAGTGTTTATCAAACTACAAACATTCTAAACCCTAGACAATGAACTTCTAATACTAGTCAATCCAATCTCTTGGCAGAAACTATCAAGTTTACAACACTTCCTAATCTCAATTCTCATTGATGAAACATGTAGTAAACAGGCATAAAGAAACAGCTCATTAATGTCAATAAACATCTTAGACAATCAATCTCTTGGGCTAAGCATGTAAATCTCTGGTACTAGTTGGTTCAGACATTTCATTATATACCTTTCGGGTATGAAATGTCTATGACCCAGTTCCAATTGATCAGAGAAGAACTAGCTAATAAAACTCTAGTACAGAAGGGAAACAAAACGAATCTAACATAAAACTCTAGCAAACTAACATCCTCCACCTAATCTATCCCATCCTCAAGAACTCTAACACTACTCAGACGCAGAAATCATGTTAAACATCATGAAACAAGAATCGTTCAAAACATGCATAATAATAAAGATGACAGGAAGAGTAACAAAAATGATTCAAGAACTAACTGCAAAATATCAATGACTCAAAAGAAATCACGATTACAATTCTCAGGATCGTTTGGTGGCTAACAACAAAAACCTAATAAAAACTCGATCCCTTGGGCAATCTAAATGAGACCTATTTATAACAATGTTTGGAAAAACCTTAAAACAGAAAACGACAACGTAGAAGCGTTTTAGAAGTTGTTGTGAATAAGTTGGTCGAGTGAGCATCTCGAGTGAGCCTCTTCTCTGCTTTGCTCGATGGGGTTACTCGAGTGTACACGTCGATCATATGCTTGTCGAGTAACGCGATGCATCCTTACTTCTCACTCGATCGTCCCACTCGATCATATGCTTGTCGAGTAACGCTTTTCCCCTGCTTCGCTCTGCATGTCTCCTAAGTACCTGAAACACTCCAAATATGCAGAATGTATGCAAGACATGCATCATATGCATAAAACCTACCTAAGTATGTAAAACATGCGGAAGTGATCAATATGATGCGAATCAACAAGTGAATGATGCTGAAAAGATGATGAATACATGCTCAAAAAGTGATGAAATACAGACTTATCAATTCCTCCGGATAGGTACGACAATCCAAACCCGACAAACACATGCTCTCTCAATCCACAACCAAATCCACAACCACATCTAGTTTCTCTTGGACCTTGTCTTGGGTCTTGAAACGGGGTCTAGGGCTGGTCATTTTTGACCCTTCTTCTTCTTCGTCTTCTGTTTCTTTTGCTGCTCCTCAATTCCTTCACCTTTTCCGTTGTCTGCACTCTCTTCACGTAAGCTTCCAATTAATTGAACATTTTTTCATTCCCATCAAACTTCTCAAAAATGATCTCAACCTTTGACCTCATTTCATCTTGCAGGGTGTTGACCATATCCGCTAGATTAGTGGAGGCTACTCTCGGTTGAGGAAAGGCGTCTGTAAGCAGTCCTAACCGGGCCACCAAATCTTGTTCGAATATCTCTTCCAAAAACACACATGTACCTTTTGAAATGAGCTTCATCCAACTCTCAACCACGTAATTCTGCACATCATCATCTTCGTGACCTTCATCTATGATTTCTTCCAAAAGATGAGATTCTTCATCAGTGCATGGAATGACAGATACAATATCCTGTGCAAAGAAAGAAAACACACACACACATTAAAAACACCCAAGTACTAGTAAAAGTTTCAATGAATTGTACAACTAACCTTAGTTCCACTGAGAACGTCATTCAACTTCTTGAGAGGAAACCCTTTCATCGCCCCTTTCTTGAACGTCCTCCTACACATTCGCCGGCACTCTATGCTCGCCTCTGGAATTCATTCAATGAATTCGGAACCGAGTGTAGGAATTGCCTCAAAAGCTAATAACGACACAACACATATAATTCATGTTAACACAATATGAGTTAACAATCACAATGAAATTCAATTTAATAAACAGCACTAACTTCAATCGGGATACAAAATCCTTGAACCGGCCATATTGATACTTCTCTCTCCACCACCCCATCAATATGGCGCATAGTGTGCGCGATCAACTTGAGCATGTGCTCAAACGAATACCTCCCCCAAGGAAAAGTAGCACAAAACTCCAAATCGTTAACCGATCTTAGACTTAGGCTATCTACAAGCGTTGCATTCTTACCCGAGTTCTTGGTCTCCCCGACAATGATACTCACTAAAAAGTAGGGTACCATCGCATGACGACGCTCTGAAACCATCTTCTTTAGCTTGTACTTGACGTCCTTCAATCTTACCCTGTTAAGATTCTTGAAGTGCTTCTTCTTGAACTTTTGACTACCCGAGTCCCTATAATCCTCCAGATAGGTACGACAATCCAAACCCGACATTAACGCATGCTCTCTCAATCCACAACCACATCTAATTTCTCTTGGACCTTGTCTTGGGTTTTGAAACGGGGTCTAGGGCTGGTTGTTTCTGACCCTTCTTCTTCTTCGTCTTCTGCTTCTTTTTCTGCTCTTCAATTCTTTCATCGTCTTCCGTTTTTTGCTCTCTCTTCACGTAAGCTTCCAATTCATTGAACATTTTCTCAATCCCATCAAACTTTTCAAAAATGATCTCAAACTTTGAACTCATTTCTTCTTGTAGGGTGTTGACCAGACCGGCCAGATTAGTAAAGGCTAGTCTTGGTTGAGGAAAGGCGTCTATAAGCAGTCCTAACCGGGCCGCCAAATCTTGTTCGAACATCCCTTCCAAAAACACACCTTTACCTTTGAAAATGAGTTTCCGCCAACTCTCAACCACGATATTATACACATCATCATCTACGTGACTTTCATCCATAATTTCTTCCAAAAGATGAATTTCTTCATCGGTGCATGTAATGACAGATACGATATCATGTGTAAACAAAGAAAACAAACACACACATTAAAAACACCCAAGTACGAGTGAAAGTTCCACTGAATTGTACTGCTAACCTTAGTTTCACTGAGACCTTCATTCAGCTTCTTGAGAGGAAACCCTTTCATCGCCCTTTTCTTGAACGTCCTCCTACACATCTGTGGAGACTCTATGTCCGCCTCTGGAATCCATTCAATGAATTCGGAACCGAGTGTAGGAATTGCCTCAAAAGCTAATAACTAAACAACACATATAATTCATGTTAACACAAAATGAGTTAACAATCACAGTGAAATTTTATTTAATAAACAACACTAACCTCCATCGGGATAATTAACCCTGGAACCGGCCATATTGATCCTTCTTTCTTCACCACTCCATTTAAATGGCGCACAGTCTGCGCGATCGACTTGAGCATGTGCTCACACGAATACCTCCCCCAAAGAAAAGTAGCACAAAACTTTTGATCGTTAACCGCTCTTAGACATATGCTATCTATAGGTGTTGCATTCTTACCCGAGTTCCTTGTCTCCCCGACAATGATACTCACTAAAAGGTAGAGTACCATCATCTTCAACCTCGCATGACTACGCGCCGGAACCATCATCTTTCGCTTGTCCTTGATGTCTTGCACTTTTACCCTGTTATTATTCTTGAAGTGCCTCTTCTTGAACCTTTCACTTCCTGCGTTCGTTTATTCCTCCGGATAGGTACGACAATCCAAACCCGACATTAACGCATGCTCTCTCAATCCACAACCAAATCCACAACCACATCTAGTTTCTCTTGGACCTTGTCTTGGGTCTTGAAACGGGGTCTAGGGCTGGTCGTTTTTTACCCTTCTTCTTCTTCGTCTTCTGTTTCTTTTGCTGCTCCTAAATTCCTTCATCTTTTTCGTTCTCTGCTCTCTCTTCACTTAAGCTTCCAATTCATTGAACCTTTTTTCATTCCCATCAAACTTCTCAAAAATGATCTCAACCTTTGAACTCATTTCATCTTGCAAGGTGTTGACCAGATCCGCCAGATTAGTGGAGGCTACTCTCGGTTGAGGAAAGGCGTCTATAAGCAGTCCTGACCGGGCCACCAAATCTTGTTCAAACATCTCTTCCAAAAACACACATGTACCTTTTGAAATGAGCTTCATCCAACTCTCAACCACGTGATTATGCACATCATCATCTTCGTGACCTTCATCTATGATTTCTTCCAAAAGATGAGATTCTTCATCAGTGCATGGAATGACAGATACAATATCCTGTGTAAAGAAAGAAAACACACACACACATTAAAAACACCCAAGTACTAGTGATGAACCTCCGGATACGCTCGAAGGATCGAGGTTTGGTTCGGACGCGTCGAGCGGGTCAGTGTACTGTCGGGCAGAACGACGAGGAAGCGTGCGATGAGAAAACCCTCTCGTACAAATGAGAGAAGTCTTTAATGGATGATGGATGGAACGCAGCAACGACACACGAGCGATGGGAGAACTCGTGATACGGTTGACTCACCGTCGAAGAGCCCGGCTCGTTCGGACGTCGAGGTTTTCCGATCCTTTAAGTGGCGTGAGGCCTTCAAAGGAACGAAGAAATGATGCAAGAGAAGTAAACTCTAGGGTTTTTAGATTCAAGAAAGCGTGACTTTTACAAGGGTTGAGCAGCCTTTAAATAAGTGCGACCGAAAGAAGAAACCTATTTGCCCTAGGCCACGTGTGTGGTCGAGCGGCTTACAACGCTTGTAAATAAAGACAAATAACCAACGTTCGAAAATTCAAAGTTTAAAAGATAAGGGTAGAAGGATAGGATCCACGCGTCTTTTTTGTAAAATGCGTGGATGCGCTAGGATTAACTGCCTCGTTAAAACCTTCTCGGTAAAACCCAATGAGATAAAAACCGAGTTAGGAAAAAGAGTACAGTCGCTCGCTAACAACTTAAACGTCTTCACCAATGGTGATGGTGAAGACCATCCACGATGGCTCTTCATCTTGAATTGTTGGCTCGGGCATTCTTCTCCACTCGTCGGCTTCTTGTGGTCGCTCCTTGGCCAAGTATCGGGACTTTGGGTCGAGTCATCGATAGGGTTTTTCGAGCTCCATCGGTCGTTCCGTCCGTTCCCTCGATCCGTCCGTGTCTCGAGCGGTCGTTACTTGTCCCGTCCTGGTCACGTCTGTCTCGCCCGTCCGTTCCGAGCTATCGTTGCTCGATGTCACATCATCCCTCCCCCTTCAAATAATTTTGTCCTCAAAACATGCTCCTCGTCCCCTACATCAAACGGAGAAAGATCAGAAACATTAAAGGAGGTAGATATTAGAGGCTCACCCGGTAATGCTAGACGGTAGGCGTTGTCGTTGATCCGCTCGGTGACTTGGAATGGTCCGTCGCCTCGATGGCTGAGTTTGTCCTTCCTTCAGGTTGGAAATCGCTCCGGACGGAGGTGAAGCCACACCCAATCTCCTGGTTGAAAGATCATCGGCTTGCGGCGCTTGTTGGCTTGCCGGACGTAGTGCTCAGTCTGCTTCTCGATGTTCTTGCGGATCTTCGCATGAAACTCTGAGACATACTTGCTCTTCTCAACTCCCTCGAGACTGATAATTGGATCTAATGGCAAGGGAAGAAGATCCAAGGGAGTTAGAGGTTTGAAACCGTACACCACTTCGAACGGGGAAGTCTTCGTGGCCGAGTGCTCGGATTGGTTGTATGCAAACTCGATGAATGGAAGGCAGTCGATCCATGATCCCTTATTTTGAGCAAGGGTCGTCCGCAACAGCGCGCCTAAGGTTCGGTTGGTCACTTCGGTCTGCCCGTCGGTTTGGAGATGAGCGGCTATCGAATAAAGTAGCCTTGTCCCGAGCTTCTTCCACAAGGTCCGCCAGAAGTGACCAAGAAATTTTTTATCTCGATCGGATACGATCGTGCGAGGGATCCCGTGAAGCTTGACCACGTCCCGGAAGAAGAGGTTGGCAATGTGCACCTCATCATTGGACTTGTGGCAAGGGATGAAGTGAGCCATCTTCGAGAACCTGTCGACCACCACGAAGATGATGTCTTTATTATCGATGATCGGGAGGCCAAGCACAAAATCCATCGACAGATCGACCCAAGAGCTTTCCAGGATCAAGAGCGGAGTATACAGCACGTGCGGTCGGCTTGTCGACTTGTCGACTTGGCCTTCCGGCAAATTAGGCAACGGCTGCAAAACTTCTCGATCATTCGCTTCATTTTCGGCCAATAGAAGTGTTCTCGTAGCACAGCCAAAGTTTTAGCCACTCCAAAGTGTCCGTTCAATCATCCACCATGTGCTTCTCGGAGAAGCAGCTCTTGTATCGATCCGTCCGGAACACAAAGTCGATGCTCCCGGAACAAGAACCCGTCATGGATGAGGAAGCGATCGAAGTTAGCTTTCCCGTGTTCCCTGTAGCATTCACCAAATTCGGGATCGTTCTCATACTGGTCCTTTAACCCCTCAAATCCAAGAATGGTTGCGTCCATCGTTGTGATCAAAGAGTGTCGCCTTGACAAGGCATCGGCCAGAATATTCTCTTTGCCCTTCTTGTATTTGATCACATAGGGGAAAGCCTCAATGAACTCTAACCATTTAGCGTGTCTCTTCTTCAAGTTGGTTTGGCCCCGGAGATGCTTCAAGGTCTTGTGATCGGTTTGGATGACACATTCTCGAGCTAGGAGGTAATGTTGCCAAGTTTCCATCGCCCAAACTAAGGCATAGAGCTCCTTATCATACGTCGGGTAGTTGAGGGTTGCTCCACTCAATTTCTTACTGAAATATGCGACATGTCTCTCTCCTTGTGTGAGAATGGCTCCGATGCCGACATTTGAGGCATCGCATTCCACCTCGAATGCTTTGTTGAAATCCGGTAGGACCAACAAAGGAGCTTCCGTGAGCCTCCTCTTTAATTCCCTGACGTTGTAGAATAGATTAGTTTTGGATTATTGAATAAAAGTGTTTTAAGAGAGCTTTGTCTAAAGCCTAGAGAGGAGTAATCTCAACCCTAAAGAGCTTCTTGTTTGAAGGCTTGAGATGAGAATTCTCGCCCTATCCTATTGCTTCTTCTTCAACGTTTTGACGTTCTAAGCAAGATTCGTTCATGAATCCAAGTTGTCTTTGAGATCAAGCGTTCTTGTTCGTTATATAGCTTCCGCTCTCCATCACTTGGTATCATATTCATCCCGTTCCTGGTGGTTTGATTTTTTTCCGAGAATGGTTCCGACAGACATGAGACGGGAGAACAATTTTAATGTGGATATTCCCGAGTTCCCAGTGGAATTTATAGTGATTCGTTGTTAGATTGGTTCAAAGACGTTGAAGAAATTTTGGAGTTTCAAGACCTTTCAAATGATCATTCTATACCCTAAAGCATTGACTACCCACATCACTCAATCCACATTAAGAAAGAGTGTTTGAATCAACAAAACTCTTAGATTGTGGATATAATACCCTAAAGTTTTAAATTCTACAACATACACCCAAATCA